TTGTTCTTTGCTTTTGCTTTGTTATTAATCACAATTTTTATTTTGAATTTTATTTCTGTTGCTCAGCTTTGATGGCGTCTCGTTTTGGCTCACACACAAACACACACACACGCACACAGGCACACGCACGCACACACATGCACACGCAGCAGCGGGCCCGACAGAGCCACACTCACACACACACACATGCACAAACAATCACTCACATGCACACGCGAAACGAACGCGAACGAATTCTGTGTGTATGTGTGTGTGTGTGTGTATATATTTTTTTTTTCTACGTTTCTTTCTGTATTTTATGTTTTTTTCTTCTTCTTCTTCTTCTGCTGCTGCTGCTGCTTCTTTTTTCGACTTCACTTAAATATCACAATTATTCGCAGAGTTTTTCGGCTGTGCTGGCAACTCTATTGTCGCAATTTTTATTAATAATTTATTGTGCGTTTGCGAATGTACTTTTTGAGGAGCCAAAGCAAAAATGTGTAACTCGCCTGCACGAAAGGTACGAAAAACTTGTCGCGGATGAACGTTGAGCTCGGCTATAATGCCCAAAGAGTCAATTGGAGATTGTTCAACTGTTGAATGTGTTGTTGCTGCTGCTGCTGCGTTTGCGGCTGCTGCTGCTCTGCTGCGCAGTCGCTGCTCGCCTTCTCTCTCTCTCTCTCGCTCTGTGTGTGTGTGTGTGCGCGCCTCGTGTCTGTGCATGCGAGCACAGGTGATTGTCTGTGTGAGAGAGCTCGATTATTATTGCTTTTTATGGTTTCATCTCTTTCGTAACTGATATTGAGCGAGGCGTCGCAGTCGCCGTCGCTGTCGACTGCAGCAGCGGCAGCGGCCAGAGCGAACGAAACTCAAATTCATCGATTCGATGATGATGTTGTCTCTACACTGGCAACACAGACACGCACACAGGTAGCAGCCAGTGTCAGTCCGCACGTACTTTTCTCTCAGCGCCTGTGGCTGTGCCTGTGCCTGCGCCTGCCGCTCTGTGCACGCACCTGCATAGCGCTAGTGCCGCGTTTGCCAGGTACGCATTTATGACTGCAATGCAATAACCAATGACTCAGGCAACGAACTCGCTTCGAATTTGGTTCGAAACTTGACTAGCCTAGCCTACTGGCGCGCGCGCACAGCGCACAGCATATGCTAGATGGCGCCTTCAATTTACAGTTCGACAGCGACACATTTCGCATTTGCCCGCTGAACCGGCCCTGGTCATATTGCGCTTTTGTAGCTTTCTGGTTCATTTTGTGGCGTGCATTCATTTTCGAACTTTCGAACATTCGAACACGCTGTCGCGTTTATTTTTTTTTTTTTGTTTTGCTTGTTGCTTTTGTTGCTGCCGCTGCGCAGCCACTGCTGCTGGCTTACAGCGCCAGCGCGCATTGTGAAAGTGGTAGTGCAGTTGGACACCAGGTAGATAGAGAGCTGCCTGCACGCATACCAAGAGAGACACACACACACACACATGCGCGCACGTAAAATAGTTATGCATGTAGCACAAATGAATGCCATGTAGCCGTCGGCACAGACTCCGACGCCGCCTTACGACAACAGCATCGGAGGCAGCGGCAGCGGCAGAGGCAGCGGCAGAATCAACGCTTTGTCGTGTAGACGATACGGACTGTGTTTGCGCAGTGTGCTTTTTGCCGTGTTTTCTGCCAGGCCGTTTACAGGGTGTCCGATTCTGTGCACACAATTCATTTGTATAGGAGTAATATGTATGCAGATATTTTAAATTCGTTTTGAATGCATTTTTCCATTGAATTTCTGTTTTATTTTCATGTTGTTTATTGTTGCAATATATTAAATTTGTTTTAAAACTAAATGTATGCTTAGTTTAAACGTGTTTTTGTATTCATTTTTGAAGTTTTTGTATGTTTAAATTTTTTTTTGTAATCATTTCATTTTTTTTTTTTTTTGGGTTTTTAACTGGTCGAAACTTTTCACTAATACTTTATTTTTGTTTTTTTTTTTTTGCGAAAATTACTGAAAGAAAATATAAATATTAAAATTCTATCGTCGGATAAGGGCAACAAAACCGTAGCAATGGATGAGGATGAATATAAAAATAAAATGACAAATATTTTAGACGACTTATGCGCGTATAGAACATTGAGACTGGATCCGACATCAAGACTACAGACAAAGAATAACACCTTCGTAGCACAATTATTCAAGATGGGTCTTATTTCAAAGGACGAAAGAAATAAGATGACTACAACAACAGCGGTACCTCCGAGGATATATGGACTACCAAAAATACACAAGGAAGGAACTCCACTGAGACCAATATGTTCTTCCATAGGATCTCCATCTTACGGGCTGTGCAAATATATAATACAAATATTAAAAAATCTGACAATGGACTCTAGGTACAACATCAAGAACGCGGTAGATTTTAAAGACAGAGTCAACAACTCCCAGATTAGAGAAGAGGAAACATTAGTATCTTTTGACGTAGTATCCTTATTTCCCAGCATACCAATAGAATTAGCACTTGACACAATAAGACAAAAATGGACCAAATTAGAAGAGCACACGAATATACCGAAACAACTATTTATGGACATAGTTAGATTTTGCATACAGGAAAACAGATATTTCAAATACGAAGACAAAATATACACACAACTTAAGGGAATGCCAATGGGATCACCGGCTTCCCCAGTAATCGCAGATATATTAATGGAGGAACTGTTGGACAAGATTACAGATAAATTAAAAATAAAACCAAGACTCTTGACCAAATATGTAGATGACCTTTTTGCCATAACGAACAAAATAGACGTGGAAAATATTCTAAAAGAATTGAATTCCTTCCACAAACAGATAAAATTTACAATGGAATTAGAAAAGGACGGGAAATTACCATTTTTAGACTCTATTGTAAGCAGAATGGACAACACACTCAAAATAAAGTGGTATAGGAAACCCATAGCCTCCGGACGAATACTCAACTTCAATTCAAACCACCCAAAGAGTATGATAATCAATACAGCACTAGGCTGTATGAATAGAATGATGAAAATATCGGACACAATATACCACAAAGAAATTGAACATGAAATCAAAGAACTTTTGACCAAAAATGACTTCCCCCCAAATATAATCAAAACATTATTAAAAAGACGACAAATCGAAAGAAAAAAGCCAACAGAACCTGCTAAAATATACAAATCACTAATATATGTACCACGACTATCAGAACGCCTCACAAACTCAGACTGTTATAACAAACAAGATATAAAAGTAGCACACAAACCGACGAATACATTACAAAAATTCTTCAACAAGATAAAGTCGAAAATCCCGATGATCGAAAAAAGCAACGTCGTTTACCAAATACCATGTGGCGGGGATAACAACAACAAGTGCAATAGTGTCTACATAGGTACAACAAAATCGAAGCTAAAAACAAGGATTAGTCAACATAAATCGGACTTCAAACTAAGACATCAAAATAATATACAGAAAACAGCACTTATGACCCATTGTATAAGAAGCAACCACACACCAAATTTTGATGAAACAACAATCTTACAACAAGAACAACACTATAACAAGCGACACACATTGGAAATGCTACACATAATTAACACACCAACCTACAAACGACTAAACTACAAGACAGACACAGAAAATTGCGCTCACTTGTACAGACACCTCTTAAACAGTCAAACAACCTCAGTAACAATCTCCACGTCAAAAAGCGCAGACGTGTAAAATAATGTATGTAAAATGTTCGAAATAATGTTTAATTTATTGTATTATAATTGTTAATTGTTTTTTGTATCTTGGTGTTAGTGCCCTGAAGACGGTTTGCCGATGTGCAACCGAAATATATCGGAAGAGAATTGAATAAAATTGTTTTTCATTGTTTGTTTTAACAAACACGGACCTCGAGCCAGCCAACAAATAAATATTGAAATATGGAAAGGTCGCCAGAGCCATCAATAGATTACATTTACATTTATGTATGTTTTACATATACAATTATATAGTATATATATTTATATATATGTATGTAAGTATATGCATGTGTGTGCGTGCGTGTGTGTGTGTGTGTGTTTGCGCGTTTTTGTGTACCTAAAAAAAAATAACGTTAAATATATAATATTGTTTTCAAAATTAGCACATATACACAAAAAGAAATGTTGCTGTTTTTAATATTTGGTATTTCTTGGTAGCCTAAAATTAAGTTAACAAACCATGGAAAATGACACTTGTTAAAGAACTGTCGATAATGCGTTTATCGCTATCGTTATCGTTATTGTTATCGATATTCGTATTCTATAATGCAAAAGGTTGTCGAATTTTCAATTCCAAGTAGCAGCCTGAGTGACGTAAATTCAATGAGCTTTTCGGATATTTCTAGTGGTATTTTTTTTTTTGGTATTTTTTGTGTGTTTAGTATTTGTGGGCAAGGAGTGTGGCTGTGGTGGAAAGGTGGAGCGGGGGAGGGGGGGTGCACATAAAACAGAAGCTAAGGCCTATTGTGAGGAGGTTAAGGGTGTGTGTAGAAGGGGGGGGAGGCGGGTGGGGGCGTGTTTGTGTAGCGGTAAAGCGTCGCTCTGGAAGACGCTTGCTTTTCTCTCCCACGCCGCTCTTGTCTGTGTGTGTGTGTGTGTGTGTCTGTCTGTCTGTGTGTGTGTGTGTGTTAAGTCTATTAAGTACATATGCATTAAAACTAGACACACCAACTAGCTAATAGCTACTAAAAACATTCTCTGATTTAACTGAGGTAACCATTTATTATTATTTTTATTTTCTTATTGGTTTTTCTTTTTCCTTATTTTTTTTTTTTTGGGATCGAACTTCAAATACGAAACTTTTTGTGCTGTAAATCGTACGACACGTGGATACGTCACCTGTTAAAACTCATGTTAACTTTTGCTCAATGATTTCGTTATTTTTTTTTTTTATTTTAAGTTTATTTTAAATGTAATTCGACAACGTTTGCTAAAATTTAAATATTTATCGTGAACAGTTGTTTTATATTCGGTTATAATGCTTGCACTTTCACGCCTGCAGAGTCTGACAATTTTAAGGTTATGTTGAACAAATGTTGCCACAGAGCTTTTGAGCTTTTGGCCAAGCAGAAGAGAAGAGCGTGAAACTAAGCAAACGAATTTGTTATTAAAGATCATTTGAGAAAATTGTAAATATATATATAAAATAGAAATAGCTCGAGATCAAAAAATATAATATATATATATTTATTAAATCGGAAAAGTCATGTTATGATCATGCTACTCGGACAACTATTTAAAATTTGCTCTCTTTGGCATTTTATTATGAAAAGAGCTTTTATTTGTGCTTTTCAAATTGTTGAACACTCTGCAAGGGTATTCAAGCTTCGGCATGCCAAAGTTAATTTTATTTTTATGTTAATACTGACTGTTGAATGCAGAAAAACTAGCGCGCGCCTCAGCGTGTGAATTTTGGCGGTGGAGTGTGTGAGGGCAGGGGGTGTGTGAGGGGGAGGGGTGGGGGTTTCAATGTATGAAGGGGTTTGCAGTATCATCTTGATAAGCCCAGCCCGCAGTTGCCAGTGTATGCAATGTGTGTGTGTGTGTGTGTGTGTGTGTACGTGTGTGTGTGTGTGAGTGTGTGTGCGTGTGTGTGTGTGCGGTTAGTAAACGCAACTGCTTTGTATGTGATACATATACACATATATATACATATAATATATATGATATATCTCTTGCGGAGTTGGCAGTGATATTGCGAAACGTTTTGTTGGTATTCATTTTGTTTTTTGTTTTTGTTATTCTTTTTTGTTTTGAAATCAATGCGTTATCCAAATAAAATACTTAGTAATGCGCACATGGTTAAGTTTCGTACGCGTTTTTCCCTTTTTGGGCTCGATTATAAGAATTTTTTGACATTATTGTAAATGATTTAGTTTATGTTTGTTTGTTTGTTTTTTTTTTTCATTTTCATTTTCTTTAAACAAATGTACAATAAATATGTAATCTATAATTTGTTTTAATGCGTTACATACTTTATAAACATTAGACACAATCCAAATTGTCTTGATTCCGAGTTCGTATCTCTATTTTAATAATATTAGATTAGATTTGTTAATGTTTTTTTATGTAGTTATTTTTTTTTTTGGTTTTGTTTTTTGTTTTGTTTTTTTTTTTTTTTCAAATCTAACGAACTGCAATGCCATGTCACAACGTAATCGCAACTAAATTGCTAAATTTAATTTATTTGTTTGTTATTTTATTATTTTGTTGTATTTTTTATTTACAGAATGCTTCGATGTCGCTATCCATATATATATATATATATACACACATACATATATATATATGGATGTATTGTTTTGTATGATCTAAAATGTTTTCAAAACTAATTAAGTTACATACAAGTATAAATGTAAGTAATACGTTTAAAAATGTTGCGTTATTTGTTTGTTTTTGGAAAAAGTATTTGCGTTAAAGTTGGTTTTCAATTTGATTAATAGTTCTTAGCATATATATATATATAGTATGCTAATTGTTTCGCATTTGCCAATCTGTTGTTGTAGCTTGTCGACTTTTATACATTTTACAATATTAACTTATAGTTGCTTAAAGTTCGAATATGGTAATCTCCCTAGAAATGCCGGCTGTAGTATATCTAACGGCGCTTCTTCTCCTCTTTTCTTTTTTTTTTTTGTTAACAACTAATTTTGTATATAAATTGCCTAGTTTTGGTATTTTGTTTTTGGTTTGTTAACGACTAGAACATTGTAAAGAAGGAATCGGTTTCACATAATGCATCATCATATATCATCTAAGTATATCCATATAGATATATATACATATATATATATATATATATATATATATGTATATGTGGTTAGCTCCGCGAGCGTATCCTGAACTGTTGTTGCCCTTTTGCCAGCCGTCCCGCTCTCTTTATATATAAATTCTCTTTGGAATTGATTCAATTTAGTTTTTATGACATATTGCTTTTTTTTTGTTTGGGACAGCTGTGCGCAACAGTTTGTGGACAAGCTGCGGGGTTAACCGGCAAATAAAAATCAAATAAATAAAAAAAATTATATAGTCTAATGTTAAGACAACAACAAAATCAACAGAACGTCAATTGTGATAACATAACATCTAAGTGGGACTATCCGCCTTGGAGCCGGCATTCGAATTGTCTTGCATTTGAGCGAGTGTCTTGAACTTTTGCGAGTTTAGGAATCTGCAATGAACACAACATTTTCGCTGATTATAATAAAACAAACAGATATATTTAATGGCCATCTACCTGGGATATGAGTCTCTGTGCATCAGCGTATAGATTTGTATTTGAGCCTCGTCAAAGGTGTGGGTCGTCGGCTCGATCATATTGCGATTGACAATTTCGCGTACTCGCGAATCGAGTGAGACCTCGCGCGGCGATAGTATCGATATATAGTCCTCGTATATAAGGCGGGCCTTCTCCTCGACCACCTCGGCGCTGTTCTCCTTCTTCAGATCCTCGCAGGCCAGCCAAAATAATATGTTCTCCTCGCTGAATTCGCTGCGCAGAAAATCCCTGAATACCTTGCGCCCATCTGCAATATATATTTTCAGCATAAATATTACAAAAAATGTTTTGGGAATTTTCAAGAACTTACTTGAGTTCTTCATTAGTTTATCAAAGCTTTTGCCCCAACTACGTATTTCTTCTAATGTGGGTCTGTAAATGTGAGAAATGTAATTAGAAATAGATTCGTTTGCAAATTTATCGGGCAGCAAAACTTACTGATCGCCATCTAGGAAATCGGCGCTAACGAGATCACGTTTGGTGGGCGCATTTTCATCGGCATTCTTGATGGCAAGACTGCGGGAAATACAACTTGAATTAGTTTCGAAATGGAACCAAAATATGTTAAAAATGTTGCAGAAAGCGCAAGCTCAATAAAATGAATAAAGTTCTATTCGAAAATAACTGAAAACTTTTAAACAAATAGAATTCAAATGATTTATCATTAAATAATAATATAAAAATATATTTATAAAGTAATACAATAAATAAATTATTAAATAAATATAGATTTAATTAATTAATGTCTACAAATGTCTATAAATAAAAATAATAATATAGCTAAGATTATCCTCGAGCTGGATTCAGCTTGAGTTTTAAGTTTAAGTTGAAGCTCTTAAAAGCTTTCTCAAACTAAGCTGAGTGCAAAGTCTTGCACTTAATTTAATTATTTATGCATTTAACAAAATTTGGTTTGATTTGCATAGATTTTCGTCAGATTTATCAATCATGGAAATTATCTTCACAAATTTGCCAAAAGCTTTAGTTAGGTTTTCTTCTTAGTTTTCGCCATAATCAATTCACACACACACACACACACACACAGACTATATTTAACTTTCATGAACTGAAATACGCTTTAAATTAGAATATATAACGTACAGCATACGTTTGGTTAGGCCCAACATTTTGGTTTTAGCTGCATTTGAAGCTTTCACGCTTCAAATCGTGTTACTAGTTTGAGCTTTTGCTTAGTGTAATTGCGTTAAGGATCACTGATAAGCGCTAAAGCTTTTGGTACTTGAGAAACAGCTGTTTGAGCTGCTCGCACAGTTAGAGTTGGCTGCGCTTGCGTTGCTTTTGTTGTTGCCAGCACAGTGGTTCACACAAAACTGGCCACGCGTTATCAACGATTCGATTCGATTCGATTCGATTCGATTCGGCTGCCTCGTATCAGGTAAGCGTTACACGCACCCTACGTAAAACTCATCAAAGTTCGTTATCTGTTTACCCTGCTTGGACAGCTTGCCAATAACATGGCTGTGTGTGAGTGTCTGTGTGTGTACTTGTATGATTAAATGCGTATAGATGGACAGCTAAGCTAAGCATACAAAGGTGCGGGAGAAATGCCCACCCAAGCAAGAACAGCTTTCGTTTTCATTCACGAAAACTTGCAACATTTTCGCAACAACAGCAACAGCATTAAAAAACTGCCGCAGCAGCAGCAGACGCAAGAGCCTTCAATTGTTTGATTGTGATTTTTGAAAAGTGCCCAGCTGAGAGCTTTTGGCGCTCCCAAAATTGTGAATGGAACAGTTGTTCGAATTGGCAAGAGCGAGATGGTCTGACAGAGAGCAAAAGCTTTTACTATTCGCCTAGCATAGAGCATTGCCAGCTGCAAGCAAGCCAAAGAGAGAGAGAGCGAGAGAGAGAGAGCAGGCAATGCCCCTGACTGCGTGGGTGCGTGTGTATGTGTGTGTTTGTGTCTGTGTGTGTGTTTGTGTGTGTGCCTAGGAACTTACCACTTAGCCCTGTTGTTGCGGTTGGACGACCCGTGGAGCAGCGGCAATGAAATAGTTTCCGTTGAAATAGATGTTATGCATTTAACAGTTAACCCGCAGGTAATACTCACCAGGAGCAGGAACAACAACAGCACCAACAAAAGCAGCACGGCTTCTGCGACTGCGGCCGCTGCAGCGTCGCATTTGACTCCTGCAGCACGTTCGATGTGGCGCTAACGCTGCCCTGCAGCGTTGCGCTTGTGCCCGTTGTGCCGCTAACGCCCCCGATGCCCCCCGTTGAGCTCAAGCCGCTGCCAGGTCCGGCACCGACGCTATCCCCGTTACCGTTACCGTTACCGTTGCCATTACCGTTATTGGCCGCTGCCGCCGCCGCTGCTGCTGCTGCTGCGCTCTGTGAGGATGCAGTCATGCCGCGCAAGCGACAGCCACTGGGCAGCTCGGAAACGGTGCAGGACATGCTGCAAACAATTGAAATGTTGGATGAACAACAGCTGCACACCCCTCGCCCCCCCCCCCCCCCGCCGCCACAGAACAGGCCAGAAGCACAACAAATTGGCCACACTTACCTGCCCTTTGCAAGTTCAAGTTGATGTTGGCGTTTGGCGTTGGCGTTGGCGTTGGCGTAGCTGCCACAGCTGGCGCTGGCGCTGCTGCCGCTGCTAGGCCGCCCACTGCCACTGACCTACCTACTGTCCGTCTCGTTCTGTCTCTCTTCCACTCTCGGCTCGCACACCCACACAGAGCACACACGGGACGCGAGCGTTGGCGTTGGCGTTGGGCGCCCTTTTTGCGAGCGAGCGAGAGCGAGAGCGTCAGAGAGCGCGCGCGGAATAGAGAGCAAGTAACGTATTTATGTTTTTGCTAATAACTTTTTATCGAGTGCTTTTGCTTTTATGTGTGCTTTCGACTCTCGCGCCTTGCACGCTCTTGCTTGTAGTTCTAGTAGTTGTAGTTGTAGTTGTTGTTGTTTCTTTTTTCGAATAATTCTTGTTTTATTTTTTTTTTTTTTTTTTTTTTTTTTTTTTTTTTAGTTTTTACATGCATGTGCAGAGAAATTTTCGACTCTGCCTTTTGGGCGCTGCTTCGTCGGTTCCTTTGCGCATAACTTTGATTTTTTTTATCTGCACACAAGAAGTTGGCGGCGGAACAGGGAAAAGAGAAGCACAGAGAAACAGTTAAAAATCTGATGAATTATTATTATGATTATTATTATGATTATTATTATTTAGTTGTTCTTGAAATGTGCGTTGGACGCGCTCGCAGGTGCGCTCCGTTCGGGTCAGGCCAAGGGGCTGGAAGGGAGTTGGGGCGGGGAAGGTGAGGGCACTAGTTTGTTGTTGCTGGCTGCTGCGTTCACAATTAACACATTTGCGTTTACGTATTTACAGCGAAATTAGTTTGTAATGAGGAGCAATTGATGCGGGAATTTCATTTTAAAGTGTTATGAAATTCTTTGAATATTCTTCTTCATTTTTTTTTTTTTTTTGCTTTTGGCTTTTATTCTTTTATTCCAGCGAGCAGCTGGAGATGAAGAGTTGTTGTTGTTGCTCGAAATTTTTTGTATTTATTTCTTGTGCTAGTCATTACACACACACACACACACACACACACACTCACACTTGGCACACATTGACACACACTTGCTCCATGATGGCGGCGTCGAGGTCGCCTGACCGTTATTTTCTTCTTTTCTTTTTTATATATGTATATATTTTTTTTATTTTTCGTTTTGGTTTGCTCTGTTTTGGGGGCTGATGGGGCGTATGCGCGATTAGCTTGCCTTGCTGCTGCTGCTTGTTGTTGTTGTTGTTGTTTGTGTTGTTGTTGTTGTGGCAGCTGCAGAGGGCAGCGCTGCTAATTGATGCACTTGATGCTGCTGTGCTTGTTTCTTGGCATTTATCACAGTGCAGCCGTTACATTTGCTAAAATATCGAACATTTTTCAATCGTGTGGGCTTCCGCTCTTATTTGTACACACACTAACACACACACACACGCACACACACGCACGCACACGCACACTGAACAGTGGCACACACTTGATTTGATTTCGGTTTGGTTTTGTGGTGTGCGCCTATGTCTTCTCTATGTATTTAGGAGCAACGAATATATACAAATTTTTTTTTTTTGCCTGCCACACAGCCACACTAAAAATATGTGTAGGTATTTTTTTTTTTTTTTTGTTCGTTCTTTCTTTTTGCTCTGAATGATTTTGCTTTGATTCAACTTCTACACAGAGAAAGAGAGCCAAGGAGAGAGAATGCGAGTACGGTCCGTGGGGGTGGGGGAGGTATTGGTGTGAGAGCGAGGGAGAGAGAGAGAGCGAGAAAGTAGTGCAATTTAGCTAGACACTCCGTTATATTTGATAATTACATTTGTGAACTTTTTGACTCTCATATTTTCGGATATTTGCACATTTTTGGCATTTTTCAAGAGCTCAACAAAACACTTGCCATATTTTATTATTATTATTATTATTATAATTTTTTTGGGTGGGGGGCTTTGGCTTTACCACATTATTGCTATTTCATTTTCACTGCTGCGCTTTTTTCTATACGTGTGTGAATTTCTTTGCTATTTTTTTTTTTTTTTTTTCGTATTTGTGTGTGTGTGCGCGCTCTGATAGCCAAAACCCAAAATCCTCGACGACAACGACGACAACGACCGACGACGACGGCACGAGCACAAGTGCAAACGTTTCTCTTCACATGGGCAAAGGCTGGCGACTGACTGCTGATTGAAGGAAAAGCTCCCAAATAGCTGTACAGTTGTTGTTGTTGTTATTGTTATTGTTGTCGGTGGAGCCGATAGCGAGCCGATTAGATTCCTGGTACACATCGCGAGTCGCGACATGTGCGCGCGAGTGCTTTTGCCAAAAGAGCTTTCGCTCCCGCTCTCTCTCTCTCTCTCACTCTAGCTAACGGTGCCACTCACTTCACACTGGACTGGAATTTAGTTGGGATTTGTGCTTTTTGGCAATGCTGCTGCTGCTCATTAATAGATTTACAGTTTTCTTTTGCAGACTTGTTGTTGCTTTTTGTTTTAGTTTGTAATTTTACGCTCTTTCGCTCTCGCAGGCATAGCATGCCCCTGCCTAAACGAGCCCCGGGGACCAGGCGTCGAACTGCTTATTGGAGGGGGGAGGGGGGGGGGGCTGGATGGCCAGGGTTGTATTCAAGCTTTTACATGCAGGACTTAAAACGGAAAATACCATTCAATAAGATATATTGTTCACTATCTCAACTTTCACATATAAATTGAGCGCTTAAAACTAGATGTGCAACAAGCTGCACGCTTCACGTGTAAAGCCTGATTGTGCAGTCGGCGCCTGTGGAGAAGACCCAAGGCTGCACCGGATGCCAGCTGACATCCAGGACGCCGAACTCGTCCCGCTTCTCGTGCGTCTGCAGCTTCTTGAGCGGCACAATCAAAGGATTTTGCAGCAGGTCACTAGAGAAGAGGTCGGCCAGACATTAGTATGGAAATGCATTATGGGATATCCACTTGATACTCACTTGTAGACCATGCCATGGGAGACAATGACCGCCTGGTCATCGCTGCCCGATGCGAAGAGAGGGTAGCGCAAATGGAAGGCCACGCTGCGCACGGCATTGCGATGCAAACGCATTGTCTGATAGGGTTTCGTGGAGAGATCCAGATCGAACCAAAGCATCTTCTTGTCATAGGTGGAGACCAGCAGATTGTCGCCCTTGGGATGTATGGACATGCCCGATATCCACTTGGAGTTGGTAAGCAGCTTCTTGATCAGCTCCTGCTTGACCAGATCGTAGATGCGTATATTGTGCTGGGTCTGCAAAGAGCGCACATGGATTATGATGAACAGAAAGATGAGGAGGAGGAGGAGGAGGAGGAGGTGGAGAACCTACCGCCACGAAGAAGCACGGTTTGACTGGATGGAAGAGCACACACTGGATGAGGCCCTTGCTCTTGGAGAAGGGTATTTGCGAGCGTCGCTTGGAGAGCTGGTGTATAAGCGCCGAGCGATTGGCGCCCTCGGGCATGACGGTGGCCAGATAATCGCCGCGACCATGCCAGGTGACCTGACGTATGGGCTTAAAGTGTGTGATGACCACACGCACGCCCTTCTCCTGCTCCTCGGGCTCAGCATTGGACCACTGCACGGCCGTCTTGATGCGCTCGTTATCAATGACATCCAGGCTGGGCGATGCGGCGAGCAGATCATCCGTTTTCTTGATCAACAGCTTGTCGCCCACCTTGGGATTGATGAGCAGCAAGCGACTGCCCGTAGCCACCGCAATGATAGACAGCTTGGCATTGGGACACCAAGCCACGCAGCGCACCACGTCGTTTGTCTCGATGGTGCGGATGCAACGTCCCGTGGCAATTTCCCAAACTACAAGAAAGTATGTAAAAGTAGAGTAGAATCTAACCACAGATAAATAGGGTAAACTTACTCTTGACCGTCTTGTCATCGGAGCCGGAGGCCATGTACTCGCCCTTGGGCTCCACGCTGACGGAACGCACGAGATCTGTGTGGCCGCGATAGACGAGACTCTCGACCGTGGGGAACGGCTGCAGATCGCGTGGTGAAGGCAGCTTGGGTATCAGATACTCGGCATCAATGTTCAGCTTGACGCGCTTGGCACGCGGACACAAGTACAGATCGAGGCAGCGCAGGAAGCGCTCCCGCAGATAGCGGGAATAGGCGGGCACCTCACGCAGAGATTTGAATTTCTGTGGCATGAAGTGCAGCTTGCGCTTGTGCGGCTCATCCTTTTGCTTGAGCCACTCCTTGGTCTCCTTCTCGTCGAACAGATACTCGGGCGGTGGATTATAGGATTCGGCATGGCCAGGCAGATCACGTTTGGGCGCCGAGACGGGATCGTGTATGCGACGCATGCTCTCCCGGCCGGTGTCCGTTTCCCATAGCATATAGAACTTTGGACCGCGCTTCTTTTGCTTTTCGCGCTCCACCTCCTCGGTGGTCTTCATCCAGCCCATTTTGAGAGCATGCACCATGCGCGATACCTTCTTCTTTTCCGACACCGACGGCAGGAACGAACGTTTGTGATCGGGCACATTCTTGATGGGCATTTTCTCCACTTCCGAGGTGAACCACTCGATCCATGGCGCGTACTCATCGTGCTCGGCATTGGGTATGCGTCCCGAGTTGACACGCTTAATCAGAGCTATATCCTCGTCGGTCAGCAGCACTTCCTGGCCGGTCTGCGGATCCTTGACGGTGCGCCAGAAATTCGGATCCTCGATCTTGCGCAAAAAGTCATCGATTTGATCGCCCTTCGGCGGCTTAACAATTTTCTTGGCATCCCAGTCATAGCCAATGTGCTTGTACTCGTCGTACCAGTGCATGGGTATGTTGCCCACCGTATTGCGTATATCCTCCTCATCAGAAGTGTCCGAGTCCTCATACTCGGGCTTTGAAGGATCCCGCGGAATTATCTGAATGATGGGCTCCACTTTTGTCTGTACAGCCGCTGTCATACTGCTGCTGGGCTTCTCCTCTTCGGCATCATCGTTGTCCTCGCTAGCTTCATCGGAGTCCTCATCTTCCTCTTCGTCGTCGTCTTCGTCTTCCTCTGCATCGCCCTCTGCCTCGTTGTTTGCTTTTCTGCCCAAATAGTTGCCCTCTTCGTCGCTCTCAAACTCCAGATCTTCGCTGCTGTCCGATTGATATTCCTGATCTATGCCCTCATCATCAGTGGTATCCTCACCAGGATCTTTTACAGCTTGCAGCAGGTCCTGGCCAAAACACAAACATTAGAGTCCAAACATATTTCACACCTCTTTTTAATGCTTACGTCATCCTCTTCATTGTCAGATGGCTCAGAAGCTGAAGATTGTTCATTTGTGGGCTCAGGTTCCTTCACTTTACGTTTTATTGCCTGTTTTTTAGTCATTTTAATGGAAAACAAAACGAATCAGCGCGGCGCACGTGTTGCGGCCCAAGTTTCGATATCAAACAATTTATCGATAAATGCATTTGTTTACA